AGGGAAGGTGCGAGCGGACGTAACAGGGCGGAAACAGTACCGTTGACACAGTAACAGTCGCATTGGTTCCAAGGTATGATATAGGACGTGGGACAGGAACATTATTGATGGGTGACAGGGAATGATAGCAGCTGATAAGATCCGTCAAGAGGCGTCAGAAGGGGAGGGTGACCGAGTCCATAGTGCGGGACACAGTAACAGTGGGACATTGGTTCCAAGGTATGATATAGGACGTGGGACAGGAACATTATTGATGGGTGACAGGGAATGATAGCAGCTGATAGGATTTGATAAGGGAGTTAGAATGGTAAGGTCACCATACTCATAACGCGGAACACAGCATCAGCTAGGCATTAATTTCAGAAAATGATATAGAGTTGGAGATGGGGACACGGCACGTGAGGTGATAACAGCTGATAGGGGCTGATAAAGAACGTTGCCAATGCTGTTCAGTCAAATTGCTGGAGCCTTTACACTACCAATTATAGAGTTTCAGTGATAGGGACATCGATGACGGGTGACAGGATCTTATCAATCGATAAGCGCGCCATGACTTGAATGACCTTGCTGAGGTGCGAGTGGGATGGAATACCCATGGCAGTAATGGCTCATAAATTCCGTACCTGCGAGAGAGCCCTGAAATGATTTTATAGTGGGCGCCATCGGATGTTGATAATGAACAATCGAAAACATTAGTCGTAGAGAATCCAGTACAACGATCGAAGCCAACATCCGTCTTGCCTCGAGATCGAAGTTCTGAAATAGGATGGGTTATATCCACCTGCGGAAAGCCTAAGAAGCTTGATAAATGGGTCTGCATGATTTGAGCCGTAACAAGAAGGACAGCCGTTCCAAGATCTTCTCCACTCTGCTCTATGCAACAGACTTTGCTCACTCCTAGATTGTACTGTGCAGTAAGATCCATAATTTTTTGGCAGCTTTTGCAAAAAGACATCTCCGCCCCCCCCCCCACTCCATCCTCTTTCATAGAACACAAAATTTCAAGTTAAAATAATAATCAACTCGGGAGGAGCGATTATTAGGAAACAATATAAAAGATGATGACACACAGTAATTGCAATTAGTTATAAATTGAGATCAATAATAGAAAATGACCTCGAAAAAATTCAAAAATTTTCGCTTTAGCAAATTTCTCATCAGTCTTATGTATACTGGAAGCTTCCGTTAGTAATTGATATTCTGTTTCCGCTGAGACCATATAGAGGTGTTAGCGGAGGAAGTGAGCTTTGAAGGCTGCTAACAATAAATGATCTTGCTCTCTGCAGTATGTTTGCCGCGCTTCCGTACAATATCACTAAGTTCTCTCACAGTGAAACCAGCAATCGTAGACTGGAACTGTCTTCAGCAAGAAGAGCAAGTAAAATGGATCAAAGCAGAGAGCCGAAATTTTTTACAGATTTTCAATCAGGGCGAAAAACCTTGGAAGGAAGAACCTGCCAAGAAAATCGCGACTCTGATTCGACACTGCCATATGCCTAAATTTCCAGAGAGCACACCCAAGGAAATTTCGGATTTAGCATCACGCATATGGTACGTACTGTGTAGAAGTAAATGCGTGAACTATCCCAGCTGAAGGTGATGACGTCCACTTCAAGGGTCCTCAATCCTCAAGAACGTCCCACTATGAAAGAGGTGAATATTTCACTGCTTGCAATTTCAAGAATATTTGGACCTCCATCACCAGAGGACTTCACTGTTAATAAATTGGAAGGAGTAAACCGAACGAATGCTGTTTGTCACTACTCGGAGGTGAGTCTCAGACATCACTGCGCTAGTGTTGGTTTGATTTCTATTAGGCTTCAGCTGGGTCCTGCAACATCTGAGCAAATTTTCAAATTTAATTTTTAGTTGTTGAAAAGTACATACAGTGCAGTTACCATTAATATTGAGAAAAGCGCACCATAGCTTCTTGAACTTGCTCACACCTGAGCTGCTAATTGACTCCATTCATTGAAAGCTGTGGGGCCACAATGAAAAAGACATAGGGAAACCCCCCCCCTCCGCCCCACCCTGTAGGCGTGACCTAGGAACGAGAGTTTTCTTCCTCCGGCAAGGCTATACCAAGTGAAGTCGAGCCCATGCGCCTGCTTTTACTTCTGATCCGATCAACATCGTTCTGAACAGCAACGAGCTCAGAATGGTGTTAGCATTGAAGATTTGGTCGCTGCCCAGAGGGTTTGCACTAACTCTTTAGTAGGACGTGGATGTATGTAAGCATGGCGGTTTCGCTCCCGTTCGGTGGCGCTTGAGAAACAAGTGAATCAGCTTTTCTACGAAAAAAAACATGAAATACTTGTGGCCCACCCTACCATCACTAATTTTGCAGGAAGACACTGCTGAAGAAGAAGATGGTGAAGCTGCCGATGCGTGAGTTCTCTTACGTATTTTCACATAAAAGGATAAGGTCTCCGCCGTTAATGGGTCCGGAAGCATCTTTACTGTCTTGTATTGTCCAACTTTATGCAAGGTTTAACGATCCGCTAAGCACGACTAGAGTGAAGGGCTTGTGGACAACCAACGACAAGGTCAGTTCTCCTATAGGGACTCTACGGCGCTGATCAGTGCTATCCAATCCTGGGCCAACGACCACTTGCCACAGATCGGTACGACCTCCCTCCAAGGATTTCCAACAACGTTGTGCCCCGCACCACGAGCGCTACATACCCTTTAGCGGGAGGTTAACACTGTTTATAACTCGCGAATTGTAGTCAGCATTTGAACATCAACACTATAGTTGGAGCCATAACAGTCTACTACGCAGTATTTAGCTTGTTCCTATGGTACACTCAGTTATATTCTAACTCCGTTTTTGAGTGCACGAGACAGTGATTTACGTTCAATTCGCACTAATGTTCCTGATTGAATAATACGATCGTTGCACCTTTGTTATCCTGCAGGGATTTTGCATACACTATAGCAAATGACCTCGAGAGCGAGCAGAAGACGTGACTGGAGACGGGGCCAACTTGTAGCTGCACCTGCAAGCTGCTAGTCATTTCTTTATCAGGGCCACCTTCCACACCCTCAGTTTCGTAGCCCTTGTGTGTAGGAGCCCATATCACTCAAACGTTTAACCTGGTGAGCCGGTCGGCCTGTGTGAGTCAAGTGAACCCCGTGAGAAGCTTAAAGAGGCCGAAATAATTTTATTGTACTAGAACAGTTTGTGTGTGTGTGGGGGGGACAAATCTCACAATTCCCCCACAAATCCTATCCGCAGCCTCAACGTGGCGTGGGGTGAACGGTTTGGACTGTTCCAAACCGTACCAATGCGGAGGGTGCCACGTCAGAGCCTGGCGAGCTACGCGTGGTTAAATTTCTTCTCGCCGAAAACAGTAATAATTATGGGCCTCATTCCCCTGAACCTGAGGGAACCACCGACAGGGCGACGTCGGCTGGGACCGCTCGGGCGAGGCTGCAAGAATCACAGGGCCAACGGAGATTTAAGTCGCCCAGGACTAGGATGACGATCTGTACTTTCAACGCACGGACGCTTGCATCGGAAGCTCACATCGAAGATCTGATGTTGCAAGCCAGGAAGATCAAGTACGACGTCATCGGACTGACCGAGACGAGGAGGCATCGCCCGCTACACGCCGTATACGAGACTGGAGAAGAACTGTTCCTCGGAACATGCGACAGCAGAGGCGTTGGCGGTGTGGGCGTCCTCGTCAACACGCACTTGGCCATGAACATCGATTCGTACGAAAATCTGACGACCCGAATCGGACGTTTGCGATTGAGAAGATGTGGTTCAACTCCAGCTTTGACAATCTTCGTCGCCTACGCACCAACATCAAGCTACGACGAGGATGAGCTCGAAGCGTTCTATATGGAATTGGAGAAGTTCTACAAGGAAGATCATACCTTCTTCAAGGTCATCGTCGGTGATTTCAACGCTAAGATCGGACCAAGAAGAACGGCTGAAGAACTTCACATCGGAACTCACGGAACGGAGTGGAATGAGCAGGGTGAAAGGCTGTCTGAGTTTATCATGTCGACCCATACCATCCATGGTAACTCGCAGTTCCAGAAGCCCTACTCTCTACGCTGGACATGGGAGTCTCCTGGTGGACAATTCCATAACGAGATCGACCACATCATCTTCAATCGAAGGTTTTGCCTGACCGATGTCTGTTGTTCCTAAGTTCTACACGGGATCCGACCACCGTCTCCTTCGCGCAAGATTCCGCTTTTCGATGCGAGGAGAGAGAGCCGCAAAGTTCAAGAAGCGAAGCCCCAAGACCGTCATCAACTGGGATCACTTCACTTCTCTCGCTGGGCTCTGGGAGGATTCCGTCATCGACAACATCGACGAGGAATACGAACGGCTTGTCGCACATCTTCACGACTGCGCCAAGAAGTCAGAGAGTTCCAAGATTACCAAGAAGCGTCTATCTCTGGAAACTCTCGAGCTGATTCGCCAACGTGGAGCCGCACGAGCCGCAGGCAATTACCAGCTGACGTCTGAGCTTGCGAAGCTATGCAGAGAAGCGATAAAGGAAGACCTCAAGGAGAGAAGAGCAGCAGTACTGGTGGAAGCCGCAGAGGCTGGGAAGAGCATACGCAACGCCCGCCGCGACTTCGCCAACTGTAATACTTTTCCAGGTAAGTGAACTACTTTCATTTGCTCCCAGCATTAACCTTGACTGTTCTATACTTATTGCTAACTGCTTTATTTCCTCATACGCCTTACTAGGCTCAACTCTGTGAAGCGCTCCGACTAATTGGAAGTGCTCCGGCCATGCACTCAAATTTTCCAGAAGGATCTAGGCGTATTCCATCGACCTGTCCTCTAATGTGCATTCTGGGTTTGCTTGCTTGCCTATTTTCTCTAGGACCACACAGAACTCTGCCACCTCTTGAGCAGGTCTCATCCTCAGATTCTTCAAGCTCGGTCAGCGCCCTCATCCTGCTTGCGGTAGAATCGCACGCTAGCAGCTTAGCCAATTCTTGGGTTACTACCTCAAACCCTCTCCCTTTTACTGAGCGCGGAAGAGACATGAAAACATTTTTAGCCCGCCGGCTAAATGGTCATCTGCCAGTATCTCGACTAGCGTTTCCTCGCTTGAGATTACTGCCTCATACTTCCTTCTAAACTTCCTTAGGAACTCCGAGAAATTTTCATATTTGCTCCCTTTGAATACCCCCGGGTCAGCACATGTCATGGCCCTTAGGTAGTTTAGGAAGTGAAGTTTGCCATACCTGCTTCCTCGTGAGCAGGATCCGTCGATAGTGGATTCCTTCCAGGTGTCTGCCAATTGTGCGCAGATTTCCGACCAGTCGAATAAGGCCTCTCCTGTAACACAATGTTTTGCCATGCCATATCTACTGTTTGTGTAGTATCATCCTGCTCAATAATACCTACCCGGCAGCAGTGCCTGCTCATCCACATTGGTGGCCTTGCCGCATCTCGATCCACTGTCCTTTTCAGCTGGAAAACATCGGTATCTAAATGTTTGCATAACTCGTTAATCAGCTCTCCATCCTTCTCTACAGTTCTTACGTACTCTCTCCACTCCTGTTCTGATTCAATTACCCTTTGTGCGAGGGTAGCTATGATCTCTCTCATTAGCCCCTCAGGCACCATGGAGTCACAGAGTACCCTCCTTTCTAGGTCTTCCACTGCCTCCTTCACTTGATTCCATCCTTCTTCTAGCTCTGTCCTGATTTGCTTGGTCAACTTTGCGTTACTTAGTACTGACACCGCCCTTTCTCTCGCTTCCTGCACCACTCGTACAAACTTGGACCACTCCTCCCTTGCATACTTCCAAATTCTTGCGAATTGCTCACCTCTTCAGGCGTTTCGTGCTCCTCATCCTTCATCAGCACATCCTCAGCCTCTTGACGGCTCATGCTGGGTGTCCTCGAACTCGGTTGTTTCCTCAACACAACCATCAGTTCTGTGATATCTCTCACCGTAAGCAAGTGTTCTTTCCTCCTTTCGAACACTTGGTTCCTTCCCGGCTTGAACCTCCTGGCACCCTTCGCGGTGACGAGGTTGATAGGAATAAGGACGGACCAATCTACTTATTCGCAGGATTATACTACACAAACATAGACTTATGCCACTAGCCAAACATTGTGATTACAGGAGCAGCCCTGTTCGGACTGGTCGCCGAACTCTGTCCATCAACTGGCAGACACCTGGAAGGAATCCACTATCGACGGATCCTGCTCACGAGGAAGCAGGTATGGCAACTTCACTTCCTAAACAACCTAAGGGCCATGACATTGCTAACCGGCTGTATTCAGAGGGAGCAAATATGGAAATTTCTCATAGTTCCTAAAGAAGTTTAGAAGGAAGTATGAGGCAGTATTCTCAAGCGAGGAAACGCTAGTCGAGATAATGGCAGATGACCATTTAGCCAGGCGGCGCCACTAACAAATGTTTCAATGTCTCTTCCCGCCCAGTAAAGACGGGAAGGGTTTGACGTAGATAACCAAACATATGGCCAAGCTAGCTGTGCGTGCACTTCCTATCGACAAGCAGGCATGATGAGGGCGCTGACCGAGCTGAAGAATCTGAGGATGAGACCTGCTCAAGAGGTGGCAGAGTTCTGTGTGGTCCTAGAGAAAATAGGCAAGCAAGCAAACCCAGAATGCACATTAGAGGACAGGTCGATGGAATACGCCTAGATCCTTCTGGAAAATTTGAGTGCATGGCCGGAGCCCATTCCAATTATCGGACAGCGCTCAACAGAGTTTGAGCCTAGTTGGGGTTGTCAGTTAGGAACAAACAGTTAGCATAAGTATAGAACAGTCAAGCTTAATGCTGGCGAGCCAAATGAAAGTAGTTCACTTACCTGGAAAAGTATTACAATTGGCGAAGTCGCGGCGGGGTTTGCGTATGCTCTTCCCAGCCTCTGCGGCTTCCCCAGTACTGCTGCTCTTCTCTCCTCGAGGACTTTCTTAATAGCTTCTCTGCATAGCTTCGCAAGATCAGACGTCAGCTGCTAATTGCTGCGCTTCGTCGCGGTCCACGTGACGCGAAACCGCTCGAGAGTTTCCAGAGATAGGCTCTTCTTGGTAATCTTGAAACTCTCTGACTTCTTGGCGCAGTCGTGAAGATGTGCGACAAGCCGCTCGTATTCCTCGTCGATGTTGTCGATGACGGAATCCTGCTAGAACCCAGCGAGAGAAGTGAAGTGATCTCAGTTGATGACAGTCTTGGGGTTTCGCTTCTTGAACTTTGCAGCTCTCTCTCTCCTCGCATCGAAAATCGGAATCTTGCGCAAATTAGGCGGTGATCGGAGCCTGTGTAGAACTTGGAACAACAACAGACGTCGGTCAGGCAGAACCTTCGAGGAAGATGATTGGTCGATCATCATTATTGGAATTGTCACCAGAGAGACTTCCCATATCCCAGCGTTAGAGAGCAGAGCTTCTTGAACACTGGATTACCATGGATGGTATGGGTCGACATGATAAACTCAGACAGCCTTTCACCCTGCTCATTCCACTCCGTTCCGTGAGTTCCGATGTGAAGTTCTTCAGCCATTCTTCTTGGTCCGATCTTAGCGTTGAAATATCGACGATGACCTTGAAGAAGGTACGATCTTCCTTGTAG